AAGTAATAGTTACAATTTTCCTTCTCCGCGCCGCTCGACAAACCTCCTGTTCTTGTCGTACACATACAGTGCCGGCCTGCACTTAAGAACCTCCTATATTGGGCGAGGCTCAGTTCTTATTGGCTCTCCCAACCCGAGCACCAGTTCTTATTTGCCAAGTTCTTATTTCGTCGTCCATTCTTCTCCAGAAAGGAGCGTTCTTGTTCTTACAGTATTTTAACATCATTTGCTATATTGTCGGCTGTCAACCATGAGCAACACTAGTACTGCTGTCGATACAAGAAAATACCAAGGCATGGAGCATCACAACCTTCTTGGTCCACAAGGGTGACGTTGGTCCTGCGCACCGTTACTGATCTACTAATGCTCTCAAACGAAACGCAAGGGGGAACACTGAAAATGAAACGTGTCCCTTGCAAGTAGAGTGACAAATTTACGTGTCCCATGCATCCAGGTGACAACGGCAATTACCGGAAATGCCGAAATGCCGCCAAAATTCCACTGAACCAGAATTCTACCCTTCAACGAGTCAGCCAAGTATGCACATGAAGGAGCGCACACGCAGCCATTCGTCTGAGCTACTCCCCCACCTCTCCTGGCTTTCGGAGCTAGCGGGCAATTCGGATCCAGCCGTTGTGCGATACGTAATCATCTCCGTTAGGATTTGAGGAGGACGGAGTCGAAAGCTGTAGAGAAGCACTGCGCCTGTTCGGTCCTTCCTACTGTTGCTTGAGACTGACTTGGGCCCTCCAAACTCCGACAGGTACGAACAAACTCCTTTGTGTGTGGTCGAAGATGGACTGCGTCTTTGTACAAGCCCAACATGCCACCATGCACAACATATTGCTGCTGCCGTTCACCTGTCGCTGCCCTTCCACGTCTACCTGTCCATGACACACGCTGCCACTTGATGCGACAACATCTGGGAACAACACGGACACAGGGAGTACTCCCCCTACCCATACACACACCGTCAAAATTGAACAACCTCTCATTCCTCCCTTTCCACATACAACTGATGTAGATGCATGAAATGATGCACTCTGTCTTTACTTATGGTCCGCGCTGTCTACAAATGGGAAACGCAGCCATACTTTCTGCAGACACACGGGCGAGAGAGGTGACCATACCCACTGCAATTAACACACACCCACATGTCGGTGATGAAACCTCAACCACACGCCTCTCGAGCCTATCGGCGACCACGTCAAGAGGCAATGATGCGATAATGTTCTCCCGTGCCCTTCGCACATTTAATGACGTGCAATAATTACACAACGCCGTCCCGCACATGCTCCCATACATCACACACAAAAAATAAGTTGATCACGAAAATATACACACCCCGAGACGCGCTTGCTCCGCAACCACATAAGGGTGCCATATTAGAACACCCGATAAACCGAGTTGTTCCCCTAAATCTTCCGTCTACAACTTCCAACATAACATGCAGATAGATACACAAGATGGCTACCAAACTGCCTTGTTGAGCCTGTTACCCACAGGGAAGATATCGCTGTATGCTGTCTGGGAAACTGTAGACATGCAGGTAGCTTTCGCTCACGCTATGGATTCATTGCTAATCTATCTTAGACTTATTCTATAGAGATGGATTTGTTGAGTGATATTAAGANATGGCTACCAAACTGCCTTGTTGAGCCTGTTACCCACAGGGAAGATATCGCTGTATGCTGTCTGGGAAACTGTAGACATGCAGGTAGCTTTCGCTCACGCTATGGATTCATTGCTAATCTATCTTAGACTTATTCTATAGAGATGGATTTGTTGAGTGATATTAAGAAAAAAAAAAAAACAGGAGCCTACAGCCGCATCCGAATCTCCGCTGTACTTGTCTAAGGGCAACTTCATCTTGGGCGTACTCTGGTCTAGCTTCACCTGCACACAGTAGTGTACAGGTGGCGAGTGTCCTTCTGAGATTGCTGAGTGATCAGCCCTCCAAATCACCCCATGCCCAGCCTAACGAGCACTCCACGCCGCAAAAGCAATCTATCAAGAGCAACGGGTTTAGCTTCTTGAATACGAAAGCCTTCCGGGATGTCCATTCCCTGTCTCTCATCCTCCGGGTCTTGTGGGTCCATGATGTCGTCGTCGTCCAGAAGAGCTAGCTCGTCGGGCTGGGGTTGAGAGATGTCTGCGAACGAGGCAACGGGAAACACAAGAAGTTAGGGTGTCACGTCGCCAAACTCAACCTGAACTTATCATAATTTGAGTGTAGCCGTGCGCGGAAACATGCTAATGTCAACATGAAGGACATCGTCATCAACAAAAAGAGTTGGTTTTGTGCAAAACAAACTTACCGCCGTCGTCTTCATCGCTGGAGTCAACGCCCTCCATGAGCGTCTCACGTCCTCCATCGCCCTCCTCCGCCCGCCCCTCAGGCTCATCGTTGCCGTTCTCCGAACCTTGTTCGTCGTCGCTACTGTCTTCATCGTTAGCGAAGGTATACGGCTTGTCCAAACCCTCCAAGGTGATTCGATCATCGCCCGAGCCGTCCACGGTCGTGGCTATCCCGCACTTTTCAAAAAGACGGTATCGGTACGCCTGTTGGCTGTTGAGTCTTGCCATGGCCGCTCCCGTCCACCGAGTGATCAGAACGCGCCGGTCAGAAGCTGTCAGCGACGCGGTTTCCCACCTCTCGAGGTTGTCCGACTGCTCGAGCCATATGTCCATCTGCCTCCCGACTTCCACCTTGAGAAATCGTCCGGCTCCTGCATCAACTGGCTGCACCTCGTCCGTGCACTCCGAAGGGCCATTCCAGGCGAGAGTGTTGCAGTGGTTCGCAAGATACTCCTTGAACTCGTCCGTGGTCTGCACGTGCAAGTTGTCCATGATGAGAATGGACCTCGCCTTGGGGAGCTCACCCCGCCCGCGCATCACGCTTTTCTCGGGGGTACCCAGGGGCACGACGCGTGCGTACAATGCCCACCCTCCCCCTCTAAAAAAATACAAATGTTGATGTCTGGGGTATGTACCCCTCCCAAATCCAATACTCTGTACTCTGTGATCACTCCCCCCTCTTCCCTCCCTCCCCCTGCGAGTATTCTTACCTGGCAGCCGCTGCATTGCTGTCGTTCTTATTTGTAGCAGCAGTTATGCACCTCAGGCGTGTGTTCTTGTTCCTAACAGGGCGTGCAGCTGAGCACGTGTTCTAATCGGCAAATTCTTAAGTTTTGGATTCTTAAGTGCGGGCCGGCACTGTACAACGCTGTTCGGCCCTCACACCGTTCATGTTTCATCCCGGTTTCTCTCGTGCCGTTCATTGGGCCACGCGAAAGCGGCAGCTCTGCTGATGTTGCATAACTTGCAAGGAGAATCACAGCCTTTCCGTTGTTTGGCTTCGTTCTCCTTGCGGGTATCGCAAAGCTTATGTCATAGTCCCCCCCCCTGCTATGTGGTTCGCCCCCCCCGGTGTTTGCCATCGGGGTTGGGTTTTCGTCGCTTGGCAACGACGTTGTAAAACAAGCCGCCCCCCCCGGTGTTTGCCATCGGGATTGGGTTTTCGTCGCTTGGCAAAGACGTTGTAAAACAAGCCAATTCACTTCGTGAACTCGGCAACCAGGTTACCGTTTTTTTTTTT